ATAATCAAAAGTTAACGAGGCCGTTAAGAAAAGTTTTAACATAGAATCGAACAACAATTTGCAAGGGATTATTTTAGAAATCAAGATAATGAACTCAAGATGAAAAAAAACAAAAACTCAGAGACCTTACTTGGAATTAGGACTACAATCAAACTTGGTGTTATCAATAGAGAATAATTGCTGTTGTTATTAGCTTGAAAGGGGCATTGTTGGCTTGAGCAAGGATTGTCGAATCAAACTTAAAATAAAGAAAGAAAGAAAATTTTAATGATGAAAGGTCAAAATAGTAGGAAAGAAAGAAAATGGGTGGTTACTGGGAATCTGGGAAGCATTCGAAAAAGGGAGGATAGGGGCGCTTGGATTTGGAGAGGGATCAAGAAAATGGAAGTGGGAGTAGTAGTGAAAGTGAAAGTGAAAGAAAGAAATAGAAATTGGGCATATAAGTTGAGTGTTAGAATATTAAATGAGTATGGATAGTAATGTTTAGGGTATTTTTGTTATATATATTTTAAGGAAAAATTGTAATTTTTAATTAAATAATAAAAATATATATTAAAATAGAAAAATTCGATTAGGCTCGCAAGCTACTTGAGCCAAATATTATGATGAATTCGATTAGGCTTGTGAGCTACTCGAGCTAAGATTATAATGCTCAAATTTGGTTCGATTGATAAGTCAAACTACTCGAGCTCAAGCTCGGCTCAACAATGATCAAGCTAAATTTTGAATTTTTTTCAAGTCGAATTCGAATATCTTGTAAGTACAAATATATCTTTACACCCCTAATCCACATGACACTCTATTGTTTTTGTCTTTTTTTAATTTTTAATTAAATAAATTTTGTAATAAAATTAGCCAATGGATAGGGATAGGAAACAATTCATATTTGGTGGGTTTCAATTTGACTCAATCCAATATCAGGGCAATTTTTTTTAACTTTTACTTTTTTATTTTTTTATTAGATAAATTTTATAAAAAAAATAATGTCAATAAAGGTGTTCATGTAGCAATCTCATTTTTTTTTTCATTTTTTTGTGTTTTCTAATTTGATAAAATTTACAATAAAATAAGATGGTTGATTATGATAGCTAAACAATCTCCTTTTTCTAGCTATTTTTTCTCTGATTCTATCCTTACATCTATGGGAGAGTCATATTTGAACAGTGTAAATGAGGCGTAAACCTGACGTTCTGTGGAGTCTATAAGAACTTTTGTTGAAATAACTTTTAAGGTGAAAATATTATGCAATCTGTGAACATGTTTATGAATATGCACAAAAAGGAAAAGAAATAAAATAAGACAAAAAAATCAGTTAGTCACTTCAATAAAACATAAAATAAACATCATACAGCAAGTAAAATAACAACTTGACCTTGAATTTTGGATTGACTACAAAGGGTGGAAAAATAAGGCTTTATCTATAGTTGGGCTCTTAAGGTTTACTATATGTGGTTTGGGCCAATTCTAAAAAATTTTCAAATTGTTCCTTACATTATGGTCCATTACAGACTAGTAAGGCACTTCAATCTTCGCTCATCATAGGCTACAAGCAAAAAGAATTCAATCTGAGTAGGAGTGTTTCATATACCCATACGGAGACATGAAATTTCACGAGGGCATAGGTACTTCACTCTCTTCTAAAGGTAAAACTTGGGTGGAGAGCTTATGTTATGCACATGCAAATGAATGATAGATATATATACGATAAATAATTAACAAGCATGTATCAGTTGGGAAAAGAATAAAATAAATTAATAATTAAGCAGGTATAAACAATGAAAAAGAAATAAATAATAAATAATTAAATAGATATTATACAATAAATAATTAACAAGCATGTATCAGTTGGGAAAAGAACAAAATAAATTAATAATTAAGTAGGTATAAACAATGAAAAAGAAATAATAATAAATAATTAAGCAAGATAAAAAATCTCAAATTTATTAAGTAAGGCCTGTATAATAAGGAATTATTTACTGGCTTGACTCTCGAGGTCCCCAGTGGAGTCGTCATACTGTCATAACATATAAATCTATAGACCTACTATTAGACATGAATGAAGGGAATCGTCACCAATCTTTTTTGTTTATATGTGATTGGCTACCGAAACATATTCTGATCTGCGAAAATAGATGTTAAGTTCAGGAGTCGATTACGCATGAAAAAGGTTGTAACACTCTTACGACACCCATCCAAAGGATGATACCAATTTGATTTTAAATTATCTAAGCCTAGATCATTTTTATGATTTATCAAATAATTTAATATTAAAAATTAATCTTAAAATTATCCTAATAGTTTGGTAGTAATTTAAGATAATTCTCTTACCTCATGAGTATTCATAGAGACTAGTGTCTCATTCTAAAAAAGCTCCATCATCGATTTATTAAAGTATTTTATTCAATAAAGTCTCATAATAGTTTTGGTAGGACTTAATTTGAAACAATCCTCCAATAGTTTAGAAGATAAAAATTATTTATTTTTTATTATTTTTTGAAAATTGATTTATGAAATTTTCAATAGTTTGATAGATTCCAAAAAAATTTAAACCCATGAAAGCTCTCTAATAGTTTAGTAGAATTCATGAATTTATTTTGCAAGCATTTTTATTTTAAAAAAAGATTTTTTTTCACTTTTTTTTGTATTTTTATTGAAAGGATTTTATAAATATTTTTGAAAACTTTATTTGAAAAGATTTTTTTATTTTTATTTAAAAAGATTTTTTTTATTGAATCATGTTTTTTTTTTTTAACTTTTAGAAAAAAAATGGCCGAAATAACTTTTTTTAAAAAATAAAACCAAAAAATAATAAAAATAAAATGGGTTAAAAATAAAATAAAATCAAAATATAAAAATAAAATAAAAAATAAAAAACTTGCGATTGGGTATGGTCAGAGAGCGGGTCAACATGCAGGTCGTCAGGTCATCACGCAGATCCTAAGTTGTCCAAAACGATGTCGTTCCAAGTTGTTATATAAGCCACCTATTGCGTTTCAATCCTCAGAAACCTTCTATCTCTTTTCTTTCTAAATCAGAAACCTTTTTCCTTTTCTCTATAAATGCTCCGAGAAACCCACTAAAAACTTTAATCGAAAATAAAAAATTTCACTGATTTCTAAAAAGGTTGTCAGAAAGTTAAACCAAAAACTAAAAAACCTATCGGTTTTTGAAAAATTGATCGAAAAATTCATGTTCTTCCCAAAAAATCCAAAAAAACCCAAATTTCTTCAAACTTTCCTAGATTTCTCTCAAATTTGCTCAGATTACTCTCAGAATCCTTATTCCAACCCCAATAACCTAAAATTAAACCTAAAAACTCCAGATCGAACCTGAAATCCTAAAACTTTTAAAATATCCCTATTGTCCAAAATTTTTCAAGTATTTTTTCTAAAAACCTTTCTGTTTGTCCGTCTTTTATAGATTTAGTTCAATTTATAGGCAGTTTTAAGATTAGTTTTAAGAAATGGACAGAATCAATATCAAGTTTGAATCTTGCAATTGCATTCTGTCCAGCGTTATTTTTTAGTCCAAAATTTCAGTCAATCACATTGATACAATTTTGTATTAACCTTGAATAGGAATTCTGATCTGGATTCTTTTTTTTTATCCACGTGCAGTTTAAAACAAAAAAAGAAAGAAGAAAAAAAAGAAAAAGAACAAAAAAATTAAAATAATAATAATAATAATACTAATAATAATAATAATGTCATTAATAATACTATATTATAATATATACAAAAATACCAAAGAAAGAAAAGGAAAATAAAATAATAATAATAATAATCATATAGTAATAATAATAATAACAGTGACATTAATAATGATACCATATAATATATACTATAATAACAAAAATATAAAAGAAATTAGTCCCATTAGGCCCAGACACAAATGAGTGTCCATAATTCCTTCTAAGTTAGAAGAGATTCAATCCCTATATAAAAGACCTTAAATCTATGATCAAAGGGAAAGCCTCACAGCAATTGGCTTTAAGATTAGATAGAAATCATTGAAAAAAGAGAAAATTTGGATAAAATTTTGAATCAACAAGAAAAAGGCAATCAAGCAAAAAAAGATTTACGAGAAGATCCAATTTAAGTTTTTGGAAAGAAAGCTAAAATTTATTGTAGGAAACATCAGTTTTTAAAATGTGAAAATTTATTGAAACCCTTGATCCGTTGAGGTAATGTTCGCTTTTCTTGTTTTTTGTGGTTTTTGCATAATTTTTATAATATTTAATTACTTACTCTTATTTTTATATTTATTGCATGGTATTTATTTTTGTATGAATTTGCATGACTAATATTATATTTGCATGATAATTTATTTGCCTAATATATTTGTTTGCATGATTATTAATATATTTATTTGTATAATTACATTTAATTTGATTGCATGATTATTAATATATTTATTTGCATGATTATATATTTAATTACATGTTTATTTTCATGATTATATATTTAAATGCATATTTTGCATGGTTTATATATTATTATTTACATGATTGCATGATTTATGTATTATTATTTGCACAATTATATATTTAATTGCATGATTTAATATTAATTGTATGATTATATATTTAATTGCATGATTATTTATTTATTTATTTGTGTGATTGTATGATTATTAATATATTTATTTGCATAGTTATTATTATTATTATTATTGCATGATATGATATTATATGATATTGCATGATTAATATTATATTTGAATGATATCTACTCGCATGTTTTTATATTTATTGTGTGCATAATTGCATGATTACATTTAATGACATAATTATTAATATATTTACATTATATTATATATTTATATGATTGTTATTATTGCAAGATAATTAATATATTTACATGAGCATAATTTAGGTATTATTACATGATAATTGGTATGATTTATAATATTTATACCATTGTCATTTCTTATTCTTTAAAAAATACAAGTCGATTGAAAACTTTTTTTTTAATAATTCAATATCATATCTTTTGTTAGAAGCTATTTAAAAAAATTTGAAAATCTAACACAAATATAAAATGGCTTAAAGCCCACAATAGCTTCGAGTATGGTGTTCCTTAGTCTTACATCTACAGGTAGAATATGGAAACTGATCTCTGTTTCTCTGTCTCTCCATCTCCCTCGGGTTAATGATTTCCTTCCATCTCTACTTCTTTCATTACAACAAGACTAGTGATGATTTGCAAAGGAAAAAGTAAATTGGGCGTACTGTTCTATCATCACTATATGTAGCTTAACAATACATATAGCTTAATAATATATGACACAGCAAAGTCCACTTATTTGCATTTGTTCACCTCCTTTGCCTTCTTCCATGACTTTTGGCGAAAGTCTTGGCAAGCCAATCACTTTTCCTAGTAGTCACAAAATGCCCAATAGTCACTCCAATTAGGAATCCACTTCCATAACCCAGCAAGACTACTTTCCAATGCAATCCAACCAAGAATCCAGAGTCCTCAGAAATTGAAGATGGAGGTGGTGCCAAGGCTCCAGAACCACTGTCACATTCTTTTAGCAACGGTTTTCCACACAACCCAAGATTTCCTTCAAAGGAACTACTTTGGAAAGTATCGAATTGCTGGCCTTGCGGTATAGGTCCTGAGAGATGATTATGAGAGACGCTGAGAACCGCAAGGAAAGTGAGTTGTGTACTCAACTCCCAAGGAATTCTTCCAGCTAGCTTGTTCTGAGAAAGGTCCAATGCTTCAAGATTCGTTAGCTTCGCTATAGCTGATGGGATTCGGCCAACAAGAATATTATTCGAAAAATTAAGCAAGTGAAGCTCTTTGAGACTCCAAATGGATTCTGGAATTTCTCCATCAAATCTGTTGCTCGAGAGATCAATGGCTACAAGAGTTCGAATGATCTTTGGGTACAGCATTTCTATGCCTTTGTTTGTAATTGTCATGGAGTAAATATAATACCTGGGAACATGCATTACATTGATCGTCATATCCAAATATTCAAGCATGTAACTAGCTGATGAGTTCCTGACATCAAGACTTCTCATGGCATTCCATCTTTCAAAGTAGCCTGAAGGCAGCGTCCCATTAAATCTGTTGTGAGAGAGATCGATGACTCGCAATTTGGGAAAGACAAAATGGGACTCAGGATCCCCTATCATACCATAAAGTGCATTAGAGCTTAAAATAAGAATATTCAACTCTGGAAGGGTCCCCAGCCATGAAGGGAATGAATCGCTAATCTGATTGTTCCCGAGATCAAGATATTCTAACATTCTACACTCCATCAGCGATCTTGGTATCTTTCCTTGAAATTTGTTTTTGCCCAAATCTATCATCTTTAATCTGTTTCCACTTGCCCAACTACGTGGAATGGGACCATGAAAGTTGTTGGAGCGCACCCTCAATACCAATAAGTACTCGCTAAAGTTGCTCAAACACAAAGGGATCTCACCACTCAAGTTATTAAGGGAAACATCAAGAATAGAAAGAGAGCTGAGGTTGCACAAGAGTGGTGGGATTTCTCCGGTGATGGAATTGTTTGAGATGGAATAGAAACTAGTAGACAAGGGTGGAACTGGGAGTGAACCTTGGAGAATGTTGGAATCAAGTTTTAGATAGTATAATTTGGACCACGGAAGAACAACCGGGAATTCATCAAAACCGGTTAGAGAGTTGTTTGAAAGGTCTAAAAATAACAGAGTTTCAATGCTCACTTTCGACAGCCATTTCGGTATCTGGCCCTCAATGTTGTTGGAAGAAAGATCAAGAAGTTGCAATTGATGTTGGTTACGCAAGAAATCTGGGAACCCTCTTAGATGGCAGTAACGCAATCCTATATCAACAAGCTGAGGACTGGTGGCATTGGTATTATTTCTTGAAATTAAATTGAAATTATTTAAGGATAGAAACAGATACTTCAACTGTTTTAGCTCAAGAAATGTATCAAGCTCCACCATGCCACCCAATCTATTTTTGTCACAGTCAAAAAATTCTAGTTTCTTGAGTCTCGAGATTGAGCTTGGAACTGACCCTTCTAACATATTTTCCATTAGGTTCAAATAAGTTAATTGGGTCAGGTTCGTTAGCTCTGGTGGAATAGAACCTGTAAAATGATTACAATAAATTCAGTCAGATTTGCAAGAAATGATCGATGGAAGAGAATATATCTCAGGGCCAAAAAGAATGGTTTTTTTTGGATCAAATGTAAAACATTTAGGGAGGAGTTCAACTCCATTCTTCCAGTTGGACTATGTATGCATGCATGCACATATGATAAATTTGTTCCAAAAGGAATTATTTTGAAGACCCAAATATTTAAGCTTGATGGCACTAACCTTTTGAAATGCAATGCCTAACTTCAATAATTTGAAAGAAATAATGATTTTCCAATTAAGACAAGTAACTCACCTCTAAAAAGATTACTTCCAAGATCCAAAACCATGAGCTTGGTGAGATTACCCAGCATAGCTGGAACTAATCCTGTGAATTTGCAACGAGGAATGTACAAATATTCCAAAGAAATAAGGTTTCCAATTGAGTAAGGTAGCTCACCTGTAAAAGAATTATTTTGAAGATCCATATAATAGAGATTGGTGAGATTACCCAGAGTTGATGGCACTAACCCTGTGAAGTTGCAATGATCAATTTCCAAGATTTCCAATGAATCAAGGCCTCCAATTGAAGCAGGTAATTCACCAGAAAAACTTGTGTTCCCGAGTGCCAAGACTTTAAGTTGGCTGGTGAAATTGAATTCTGGAAAGTAACCCGTGAGACCCACGTTGTGCATCAGCCAAACAATTTGAAGGTTTGGTAGCTGGAAAATGGGTAATGGAAATTTGCCTAACAGTCCACAATAATCGAGACGAAGGGACGTCAAAGAGGAAAAGTTGGCTAAGACACTAGGAATCGGAGAAGCCACATCTACGTACGAGAGATGAAGGTGTTTTAAGTCTGTAAAATTCTGTATTAAGCTCTTCAGATCAGGCATTTTGAGTTCCAACAACCGTTGAAACCTAGGATCCCAATTATATGACAGATCTAGGGAAGATAATCGAAAGAGCTTTGAAATTTCTGAAGGTATTTGACCAGAAAATACAGAATTAGAGAGATTGAGATATGTCAGCAACGAAAGATTGCCCAACGCAGATGGAATCACAGAGTAATTGAAGTCATTGTGTGCGAGGTTAAGCTTTTGAAGGTGAACAAGGTGGAAGAGAGTACTGGAGGAATTGATAGAGCCATAAAGGAAGCTACTGCTGAGGTCCAGGCCTATCACCTGACCGGTGATTTGATCACACTCGACGCCATCCCATGAACAGCAATCAACTCCTTGAAACGTCCAGCCATCAACCTTAGGATAAGCATACGAGGAAGCAGGAGATGCGCGCTCGTCGATGATGAAGCTTTCCTTGAATTGCATCAAAGCGAGGCGTTCATCGTCATGACAAAGCACTGGGTGTACAGACGAGAAAGAAAAAGCGGTGAATTGGAAAAGAGCAAGGATAAAGAGAAAGCATGCAAATGCAAATGAAGGCCTCATAACTTCTGGTTATCTTGATGTTTAGTTTGCAGTATTTGGAGAGCAAGTAAAGTAGAGAATGGCGAGCTTTATTTTATAGACGCATAGACGCGTACATCAGAATCGTACGTGATGCTTGAATACTAATGGTGGGTAATGTGGGGTTGAGAATAGCGATACAGACGTCTTAGTCAATGATGGTTTGCCGCGTTGCGTTTCATCATTTTTGGCTTATTGTGCGAGGTTAAACAAAAATATCCTTACCATTTACCACCTTTGATTTACTTTATTTTTTGTAATTTTATCTTTCTTTTCTTTTAAAGTTTTCAAACCACTTTGTTATAATAAATAATAATCATTTATGCATTAATATAATTAATTAATTAATTTAATTATAAAATAAATCGCAATTAAATGAATAAAAATAAACATTTTTATAACTAAGTAATTAACTAATAGATTTAAATTTATCATTAATGTGAATCAAGTTAGAAAATTAAAAATGAAGAAAAATATTTTACATTTTCATTATCTTCTTAAGCTATTTAAAGACAAATACTTTATGATTAATAAGGTAGACTTAGTAATAAAGAGAGTTCATAAAATTTTGAGATTTTAAATTCAAATACTTTTAATTTTGTGTGTGGGTTTAATTTTTTAATTAAATTATAATTGATTAGTTGATTATAATATAATAATTGATTATCAAATTGATTATATGGATGTAATAATGAGTATAATTTATTTTAAAAAATACCTTATGTTGGATTAATTAGTTTTAATAAAGTTTAATATTAAAAGATAAAAATAAAATTTTACCAGATTTAAATTTGATCACAACTGAATCATTTATATATAAATTAAGTAAAAATATTTTTGTTTTGATGCATTCTATATTATCTTCATGCTTAAAATTTTTATCTGTTCACTTAAATGATGATTAAAAGCTTCATTTGCATCTTGTAGAATGGAATGCAAAGGAACAATTTATATTACAGCTGTCAAAGATGTAAGTGGACTCGTTATCCAAAAGAGGAGGTCAGGGATTGTTTGTTTGGGTCCAAAAGGCTCAAACGTGATTTGACTTGGTTTTAAAATTCTTCCAATTACAAGAAAATTTCAGAAGTGTCGCATAATTAGATGCGTTGAATGTTAAGTTTGTCCATAATAAATGGAATTTGACCCAACCAGAAAATTGCATGATCATTTTTTTTATTTCAAATTATTAGAAACTGCTTAAGACAATTATGATTTAAATTTAAATAACAAAAACAGTTGATCCTTTTTATTTTTTATAAATACAACAAATGTTTCGTATAAAAAATAAGAGAATGATCAATCATTTAAAAGAGTAAAAGAGAAAGGAGAGATAAAAAAAAAAAAAAAGAAATTAATAAAAATTTTTAATAAACTTTTTTTTTTATTTTGCAATGAAATTATAAAATCGCCAGCTTTATAAACGGATACTTCAGAATCGTACATAACGCATGAATCATCGAATATTGAGGGGTTGAGAATAGCTCCTGTTATTATTAGCGATCGATTCACAATGATTATGATTATAACTTACTACTTATAAGTAAACCATAACTCGAAAAACTAAAACTAGTTTTTAATCAAAACGAGGATATTGAAATAAATGAAAATTATATGAAAGTTAGATATGCTAAAATAAAGTCAAATTCAATTTTATCATTTTACTTAGAAGGAAGGATCAAATTTACCATCTATCTTTGATTCTCTGAACAAGTGTAATTTTATCCTTATATTTTTTTATTTAGTTAAAAAATATCAAAATTTGAATTTAATTGCAATAGCAACAAATTATTTTTTACAAGTTTAAAAAGTTTGAAAATTAAAGAAAAAACATTTTACATTTTTATTATCTTTTCAATTACACAAAGACAATTATTTTATGTTATATTTATTAATTTTAGAAAAAAAATTAAAAGATAAAAAAAATTTTAATTAAATTTAAATTTGATCTAGTCTTTGAAATTATTCTAGTGTTTATTCGTCTGACTCTATTTACTTATCCTTTGAACCTAAAAATTTTATAACCAATCAATCATTTATACATAAATTAATAAAAAAATATTTTTGTTTTGATGCATTCTAAATTTTGTCTTCATGCTAAAATTTTCATATTGGACTTAAACTATTATTAAAGGACTTTGAGATGCAAGTTGCTATCTTCCAACGAACCAGAATAAGGAAAAAAAAATTTAATAATAAATATTTAAATTATTAATTTATTAAACATTATTTTTTAAAAATAATAAATTTCATATTTTAAACGTAATTTATTTTTCAGGACACGTGTACAACTGTCAAATATTTAAGCCGAATTGTTACTCAAAAGATGAGGTAAAGGCTTGTTTGTTGGGTCCAAATGGTTCAGACGCATCCCAGGATTTTCCCTTGACTAATTAGCCTGCTATCGTGATTTGACTTGTATTTTTTAAATTGCACCGATTCCTACGTAATCATCGGCATGAATTTTCAGTTTCACACAAAAACATATCAAAAGTGTCTCATAATTTTCATTTGATTGTTCCTTTAATTTCAGAAAACAATTTTTTATAACATTGTTATTTATTTATTACTCTCTCTTTTTGTTTAATTTTTTTATTTCATTTTTAACAACTATTACTCTTATTTTTCTATATTTTAAATTATTTATTTTTATAATAAAATTTTATTATACTTCAATATCATAAAATTACAATTTAAAATTAAACACATAAAATAAATTTTTTTAATAACTATGAAATAAAAAGACAAAAAAAAGGAATGGAGATAGTGTATTTTTTATTTTAATATTTATATTCAAATAATGAAAAATTAAATATAACAATCAGTACTTATAACTAAAGATAACCCAATTTTTTTTTTAACAAAAGAAATCGTTTTTTAATTTTTGAAATAAAAAAATTGTAAATGTTAAAAATTAAAATATTCTACATTTATTGAATATTATTTTTTAAAAATAACTTTATAAAATAACTGAACTAAATTTTATATTTATTTAGATGTCAAGCTGCTTAGATGTCAAGTTGCTTATACATGTTGGATGTCACATATGCCCATAGTGGATGGAATTCAACCAACAAATAAATTACATGGTAGTTTCTGGATTTCAAATTATTAGAAACTACCTAAGACAATTATGATTTAAATTTAAATAACAAAAACTACCGCTCCTTTTTGTTTCTTACAAGTATGGCAAACGGATCATATAAAAAAAAGGGGGGGAGATTTCACTTAAAACTATTTATATTATAATTTTAAAATTAATTAATAACAATAAATAATTATTTTAAGATCGAACACTTTAAAGTATAGATTTTATAAAAATTTTGATAGATTTCACATAATATTAAATTTTCATTAATTAATAACACTAAAATAATTATAAATGATATACTTTCTTTAAAAAAAAAGTGAAAGAATGATCAAATATTTAAGATAATAAAGAAAAAGGAGAGATTGATAAAAATAAAATAATAAAAAATTTAAACCCCTTTTTTGTATTTCCCCTTGGATAACACATTAGTTATCCAAAAGACAGTTTACATTATATCAATCAAATAAAAATTTTATAATTTAAAATATAATATGATGATATGATATAAATAATATATTAAAAAAATATAATTTAAAATTTTAATAAAATTATATAAATATTTTTAAAAATAAAAAACATAAGTTATTTTTTTTATTTAACATAAATTATAATACATAATTTTTATATAAAATATAATATAAATATAAGAATTATTACCCTAACATTATAATTATCATTATCGATATATAAGGGGACTTGTTACCCCAAAAGAGGAGGTAAATGATTGTTTATTTGTTTGTATGGGTCCAATAGGTTCACACCGTGTCCTAGGAGTTTGTATTGACTAGCCTACTACTGTCATAATTATAATCAAATACCTTTCAATATGTATATTAAAAAAAAAAGAGTAATTTAAAATTGGACTAAATTCAAATATATTGAAATTTGAACTTAGAGAATTGGAAGATTTCAAAGTCTCCTTACAATCAACACAATCTCTCATTGTCACGGTTCTTGCTTTTTAGTTCGCTTTAATACAATTAAGTATAACGGGTGGACTGGGTCATTCGTCAGGGACAAATAAGGTGTTAGGGAGGTGGATTGGATTTTGGATGAGTGTAGGCTATTGGTTTTTTTTTTTTTACCAAAATGTGTTATTGGGTTTAAATATTGAGAAAATTAATTTATCGTTTTTAAAATTTTTACACTTTATGAAATGGAGTTAAAAATTTTTCACATAATATAGTAAATAAATCAAATTAATATTGTGAATGATTTTTAAATTATAATAAAATATTTAGTGTAATATTTAAATTTTAAAATTTTTTAATATAATATTTAAATTATAAATTTATTAAATAATATTACATTAAAAAATTATTTATCTATTATGTATTATTATTTAAAATTAATTACATCATAAGATTAAAACAATGAAATTGATAAAAGTTTATTTTTTATAGTTAAATTTGAAGGATTAATTGCTTGACATTGTTGTTTGATATTTAATAATTTTGAAAGTTGAATTGGTTAAGATTTGACACTTTGGAGTGGTTTTAATTTGACATTTCTAAAGTCGGTCATTTGATAGCGAATGATTTTATGGGGTTTTTTTTATTATTATTTGTCAGTTGTTGACTTGTGGATAAGTTAATGAAATAAAAACAAAAAAATCCGCAAAAAACCACACAAGTGAGAAAGAAGAAGTTTGTTTAATATATAAAATTATTATAATAAGATAAGATAAAATAAAATAATATTATAAATAAAATTATATTGAATAATGATATCTCATCTTATATTTAATGTATATAAAAATTAAAATAAAATAATTTTATTTATTAATTAAAATTATTTTTTAAAAAAATTTATATCATTTAAATTATTTATATCTTTTTTAAAAATATAATAAAATATATAAATTCAATCTTATAAATAAAAAATAATACTTTTCATTTTGAGAGAATTAAATAATTTTATAATGATAATTATTTATTTTTTATAAATAAATCAAATATAATATAAAATTATTATTATCTTATCATATTTATCATTTTATGTATCAAATATAATCTTTTATCTTTATATTATCGATTTTCCACG